CCATATTAGTAAAAAAAATCTGTACAATATGCAATACAATATAATAGATGATTTGGTATGAATCACAATCAAACTAATTTTTTAATACAAACTAAATATAACTTACCGTTTCCACTCCAATGATTATCAGATTTAGAGAACCACAAATATAAGATAAACCAATGCTTTGACCCGATAATACAAGTATCTCTTAATATTTCAGAAGATGAACAGTGGATACAGCAACTATGCCGTTGAAGAAGATGAGTGACTTAATTGCATGACTTTTATAATTCCAAACGATTGGTATTTTTGAAAAATATTTCCTTTTTTATTTGATTCCCTTATTAATTGTTTCCTTTTCTTGTTTTTAATTTTCGATTTTATAATTTAAATTTTTAAATTTTGTTTAAACAATATTCTGAACATTTATTAATATTTTAGGTGTGATTTTTACAATAATTAAAATGGAAAATATATATGTGGAAGGATAATATGGTAAAAGTGTGCTATACAAATCTTTTAAAATCTTGATAGGTTAGTGTGGTTGTTTTCAATAAATTATAGGCTATTATAGCAACTCTTTTTTTTTTTGTCGTTTGGTATTTTCTTGGGAGCATTGGAACCCAAAACTAATAATGATAAAGAATCAAAGGTACACAATTAATTTGATTATCAGTTTATTAGAGGTACAACCAAGTGGACTGATCAAGAGCCAAAAGTTTTAGGTACATGAGGTTCTTGCTTAAAAGCATATCCAACTTATGACACATTGCAATGCAACTCTTGTTGATAAAATTCCGTTTGGATATATCAACTAGATTAAGGAGAGTATTTATGGCTTTGTAGAAAGGTTAAGTTATTGGGGGTAAATAAACTTTAGTGTGAGATTCTTATGATATGTCTCTCAAATGACTCATCCATCTAGTCCTATTTGTTGGACTATGATAACATAAAAAGTTTACTAAGTTCCACCTCATAGCCATTTTAGTTATGGAATGAATAACAAATCACAATTTCATAGATCTATTTACCCTCAAACTCACAATATTCAAAATTTTAGTATTACTTTAGGATTGATCATCCATCATGTCAATGCAGTGGTTCATTCAAATGAATCGGGTGAACTATTATGATTTCATTTAGAGAAAAAAAACAATGGGTATAGACTATAAGTATTGAAAACATAGACTCTCTACTCACAACAACGCCTTCTTGCACAAGGAGGTGGTGCTAATGAGGTCCACAACAATGAAAACGATACGATATAATTATAAAAA